TTGCAAGACATAATGAAAATGCAGGGCTGGAAATTAGAGAAATATAAATTAATTATTTTTAGCATGGATTAGATTTGTTGGTCTTTTTGTACTCCTTTGTGTCCCCAATAACGTCTAAACTAATTGTGTTTCCCGCTTATTCGTATTTTTTATTAATTTTAAATTCAGAATTCTCTAATTGGATATGCCATTTTTTTAACACTTTCACTAATTTGCTCAAGAAAATTTTCTAATTTTTTTTCTTAAAATATCGACTTGATTTGTCAAAAACTGTGTGAATGAACGACGACTAAATTTTGAAAAAAAAACATGACAAGGAATAAGAACAAATTCTTGTAACTTGAAAATTACAGTTTTCTCACTTAAATCTATGACACTCACTCAATTTCTTTTCATTTCTCGTAAAAAAGCAAGGCACATAATTAAGCCTTTAAGTATTCTTTATGCGTAAATGCAATGAGTTTATAAACTTTTGGAATTGATCAAGTGTTAGGAACTAGACTCTAAGTGAGAATCTATTTAGCATTCTTTATTTTCATTTTCTTCATTAAAAGTAAAGAACTGATGAACTTTTTGGTTGAATAACATTATAAAAATAGAAAATGATTCACTAAATTATTTGAAAAAATCAGACTCCGGAAACTGGTTGAGTTTTGGATTCTTTGTAAAATATTTCAAGAACTTTGAAGTATTTTTCAGAGTTTTCCTGTAAATTGTTATACTAATTGAATATAGAATTATGCTAAATGGTATAGCGGATATCACTTTGAAAATTCATAGTGAGGTCGTTCATGTGCGGTTCACATCACATTTTTTTATATTTTCGTTAAATAAACACTTGTAAGTAATAAAAACTTGCTCATATATTTCAAGTGTATATATATATGGAAAGGTGTTTTACTTATGATGATTCTTATATACGATTTCAAGTATATCAACTAAAATAAAAATATCCTTTAACATAATATTAATATACTAGCAAGAATATTTCAATTGAATGAGATTTTTTTGGTAAAAAACCAAAAAATGAGAGGAATGGAAGGGATAAAAATATTATAAAATAATAATTTTCCACCCTTACATTTTTATAGTTTTGCACTATAGAACATTTAAGTCATTTATCAAAAAAAAAACCTTGTCTTTGTTTTCTTGCTTTTTTTTTCAAATCCTTTGTATAATTCAAATGTGTTTTCTATATTAAATTAAAATCTATATCTTTTAGAACGTATGGTACAAAGGATACAATAAGGATGGTGTTTATTACTTTAGTATTCCACGGTTTTACTATTTTTGATTACCGTGTGTTTTTCTATATTTAATAAGAAATATTATAAAAGGACGACAATTTAATATTAAAAACTCACCGATTTAAACACAAAATAAAAGAAATGAACAGAGAAGGGCTATGCGGACTATTAAAATTGTCATTGTGATAAATAAAACCATATTTCACTTGTTGATTAAAAACAATGATTTGTTTCCGAAAAAGGAGACCTCTGCAGAAAATTATATAAGAGCATTTGGTATGTAATGGAAATATTAAATGGAATGATAGTAAAATTATAACACTGTTAATTATTTTAATATTTTTTCATATGAAAATGAATAGTTTTGGATTATAGAACAACTATTTTTCATTCGTTTATTAAGTACAATGAATATTTAATGAGATTGAATAGAATTTAAGGAACGCACTTAGTACGTATACGAGAATAATTTAAAATTATCGTAGTTACTACTACTACACAGAAAAAAATGAATTAGATTTTTCAACTAATCGTAATTAGCTGATCACAAATTAGGTGTTTTTTATAAACAATTAGAAGTATTGACAACTCCTTTAGTTGTTTTAAAATTCATTATTAGCTGGCTCAACTATTTAGAATTAGTTGAATGCAATATTAAAAAAAATAGGTGATATGTCTAATCCTTTAGGTGTATTATCTAAAATAAGTAGTTGAAAATATTCAACTAATTTTAATAGACATTTCACCTAAACATTTGGTTATTTTAGAAAAGAAAACAAAAAATAAATTTACAGTTTTTATATAAATTCCTAATCAATGACTACATTTTTAAATATTTTGACTACAACAGTAGTTGATTTAGCTATTTCATTTTATATCAAAAGATTGACTAAAACATTAGCTGAACTACCGAAAACATTAGTTGAGTTATGAAAAGATCAAAATGTTTTATTTAGAAAAAAAAAACCAAAGTACCGCTACTTTTCTTCTTCAATGACTACTTTTCTAGATATCTTAACTATAACTTTATGTGATTCAGCCACTTTATTTTGCTCCAAAAAAAAATTAACTAAAACATTAGTCGAAATATCGAAAACATTAGCTGAATTCACATAAAAACACTCGTTTTATCAAGAGAAAATTCAAAGTACCGCTAGTTTTTTTTATATTCTAATTTTTAAAGTATTTGAATAGAAGCTAGTACATGGTGAATATTGATATAGTTAAGAAGCATAGTTTTGTTTTTGTAAAGTAAATTTTTAGTGATTGAAATTAATTTTAAAAAATGTAAAAAATAAAACAAGGTTCTGATACATTATCTACATCTAATACAGTAGGAAATTGGCTTTCAAATACACAGAGTACGTCTACGTTGCAGCAAGGTAGTAGCATAAGCGAAACTTTCGATTTGGTTAGTAGTTGTTTTTTTATTGTTTATACGTTAATGTAATTACTTGGATTCTTGATATAGTTTTACTTTTAGTAAATTTACGTTGGAGCTAAAGGTCAACGAGGTAAATTACTAGAAAAATATTACAGTTTATCTAAAAAATACCAAAACACAGGAGTGTTAAAAACTTTCAGAAAGTCAATCATTACATTTGGAGCCTGAAAAATTTGAAATTTGAAAAACTAAGTTGCACAAATAAATTATATGTCCACAATACTTTATACCAAATTAATGACGTAATTACTTTTAGTGATTTGAAAACCAATAAGTTTTTTTTTGATTACCTATATATGTTTTAAAAATAATACATTTTTCTTTTGTTGTGAATAAAATTAAATGAAACATAACTTAATTTTTAATTTATAACATCCTCTTATTTTCAGGATTAAGCCTAAATAAATTTAGAAGAGAGCCGAATTTATTTAGGTACTTTTTCTAATATAATAGGTAAAAACTCTATTTTACTTATCTAATTAAATAGTTATATTTTCGATTCTTATAACTAAATAATTAGGCATATTATCTATTGTAGGGAATATTTTTCAGCTACTTATTTAGGTGAAATTCCAATTTCTTTAATTGAATTCCAAAAAGATTTTAAAATAATTCAACTAAAAGATTAGGTGAACCAACTATTTGCTTAGTTGAAATCCAGACAAATGTTTAGGTGTTTTAGCTAGTATTGTAGATAAATTAGCTAATTTATTTGGTTAATTTTCCTAATTATTAAAAAGTAAATTCAGCTAATTTAAATTAGGCAATGTAGCTAAATAGTTTAGGAGGCTGAAAATCAAGCATTTCATTAGGTGATTTATACTATTGTTTTAGGTAAATTTTCTACTCTTTTTTTTCTGTGTATATGTTTACAATCATACCCCATCTTTAATGCATATACAACCCTCATTTCTAAATTTATATAGAATTTTGTGGAAGTAGTTTTGAGAAATTATTGAATTTTAAAATGTTCTTATATTTCATAACAATGAATAAGTTAAGGTATGTGAAAAGGATTTAGATTTAAATTAATAGGATTAAAATCAATTTTATTTATGGACATATGTGTGTATCTACAAATATAAGTTTTTACATGCACGATGACATAATAATTATAGATTTTGTTTATATATATATATATATAGAATTTTGCGGTTAAGACCGGTAATTGAAGAGGACGTTTTTCTTAATTAGATGGTTTAACAATAATTTTAATTTAATTATTAGTGTATAATTTTAAAGGTGAAAATATCATTTAAAATTACTATTGAAGGTAATCAAATGCAATTAATAAGAAGAAAAGAATTTATTATGAAAATTATAATTATTTTAAATTATTTTAAAATAGGAACAAATAATTTCAGTTGGGACTCGGCGTTTGGAACTGTGATTAAGTGATGCACAAAAATTAAATTATTGTAAAATTCTCTAAATTTTAAATGTAGACAATTCAATCGATTTTTTGATTAATATTCGATTAATTCAATAACTCCGGGTCGATTAACATTTCCAAGCTTTCTTTAAATTTGCACAAAATTGACAAAGACAAATAAAAATTGAGTCGATTAAATGAATGTTTTTTAAAATAGTACTTTTGTTTTTAGTAATATGAGGTTCACCTCTCGTGATTACATGGTTTCTTATTGAAATAATTCAATTATTTTGGTCTAATTTTGCATAAATTTAGGATAAGTCTTAATGTGGTTCCGACAAAATTATTAACCAATCGAAAATTTTAATTTTACTAACACATTTATGCAAAATTAAAATGGTTGGAGAATTCATTCCTCCACTTTTCTGAGTTGCAAAGAAAATTTAACTCGAAGGCTGAAGGGGTAAAACACATATACGCACATATTTTATTTCATATATATTTATTTTATTAAACAGTTTTTGTTTGATGAAAATAATTACAATGTGAGGTCTTCGGAATCAGTCAATATTTCAATTGTGTCAATATTTCAATAATCAATAATCAGTTAATATTTCAATTAATGAAAAACTTTTCAATTGAAATATTTGAAAACTCTGAAATTGAGTTCAAATCGATTTTTTGTTATTTTTCATTCCAAGTAAGAAGGGTTTTCAATATAGTGTTGCCATATATATTGTGTTGACACAATAGAGTTTCGATATATATTTTGTATTCAATTTCTATTATTGACTATAAAATAAAACTGCGTTAAATTTGAACCCTTTTTACATTTCGGAATAAAAAATTGGATAAAGTAGAATAAAATCTTAAAATCTATAATAATCTTACCTAAGTATAAAAATTTGTTATTTTTAAAAAAATTTTATATATATAGGTTTGGTTTCAAAATCGTCGAGCAAAATTTCGTAAACAAGAACGTTTAATACAACAAAAAAGTCAAAGCTCTAGTTCAACATCAAAGGATACAACACAAACGACAACAACTACAAGTAATTCAAAAAAAGAAATAAAATCTTCACAAGAACCATCCGAATCATCTAAAGATTTAAAAATTTCAAATTGTTCAAATTCTAATTTAAATATTTCAGAAAATCAAGACCATCAAGATAAAATTACTGAAGGTTAGTAAAAAAAAAATAAAAATATTTAATTTAAATTTTTTTATTTTGCATGTTCTTGCCTTTTTATTCTATGCGCTCATAAATGATTTATTGCTAGAAAATTTTCATATTTTTTTTAATTAAAAAGGGAAATGAAAAGAAAATACGAAAATGGTTTTGTTTTAAATTATTGTTTATTATTTTTATTTCTATTTTTTTTACAGATAAAAAATCACCTAGCAGAAATAATAAATGGATAAATGCTTCAAATTTATTCCTGCAATGTAAGCAAAGTATTGGGTATAACAATCATATCACAGTAGGAACATCACCTTTTTCATCATTAATAACAACAACTTCTGGTGCCGGATACCTATACGATTCACTGGGATATAAATAATCTTTTGTATACTTGTACTTTATTATTATTATTATTATTATATGATTATTATTATTACTATTATTGATTATTGATTATTTAAATGAGAAAAAAAAAAGAAAAAAAAAAACTAATATATAGAAAACAATTATATAAATTATATAAATTGAAATAAAATAAATTAAATATTAGTATTTTTTGAAATTGTTTTGGAATTGTTTGTCAAAAAGGAATATATTTGGAAAAGCACAATCACTGTATCAACCAGAAATACTACTTCATAAGAGTCATGGAGTTCAAATTATATGTTTTCGACTCAAAAATTACTAGTATACATAGATTTATCGTGTAACTAGTTCAATAACAAATAACATTGCTTAGGGCTTCATAAAAGGGTGAAATTATTATGTGCAACTAGCGGCCAAATCGTAATGGTTTCCGAAATACAAGGATTTTTGCGAAATTTTTCTACTTGCCTAAATTTTTTTTGCACATAACTCCTGTTAACCAAGCGATAGAAACTTGAATTTTGAAAGTTTTTGAAAGGAGCTATAAAGCGCTTGAGATGTTAATTTTATTTTGTATTTTATGTATTTTCGGAACAGCAATCATTTCAATTTTAGAAATATTCAAAATTTTTTCCTTTTTAGTTTTCTTAATCACAAAAATTTCATATGAAATTTTTTCATTCAAAAATTATCTATGGTTTCGGAGATGTAGAGAAGATAATACAAAAATCGAAGTACATATATGAAATTTAAAAACATAAATGGGTTCCAAAGGAGGGTTCAAATTTTGTTTTACTGTGTTTTGAGGAAATTTCCATTTATTTGGAATTTCAGTTTCCTGATTTTTAGCTATTAAATGAAAATATTACTCAAATTCGTATTACACAGTCTTCCTTATTATTTTTTGAATAATTTTTTTATATTTATAAAAATTTAAATCTCCTTCTTCATATCATCACAGTTGATTTAGAATTTCCGTTTAAAGAAGAATTTCAGTTGTAATCAAAGAGATTTAGAAAGTAGTGAAAAAAATTAAGCAATTAATATTAAATTTTTAATTTATTCTTTACTTACTTTCGAAGTAGAAAATCAAACAATAAAATTTTGTTAATAAAGCAAATTTTTTCATAAAATTGCCACAGATTTTTACATTTTTCTTGTATTTTATAAAATATTATCTATTTGTTTGTCCAGGAATTTTTCAGTTGAATAAATTTAAATTTAGATATTTTTTGTTAATGGAATTCTCAACTTTTACTCATTTAGTACCTTTAAATTTTATTCGTAAAATTACAGTCTTCAACCTACATGAAAATATTTTATAAATTTTATGATAGATAAGATAATTGTCAATAGTTTGTTTTTAAATATAATTAATAAATTAAATGATAAAATGGTATTAAATAGGTAATTCTTAAGAAAATATTCACGACTCTTTAGTCTTTATATAAAGTTTTTTTTTAAAAACTAAAATTTAAAAATTTTATTAATATTATTAATGAATGTAGACTGTTTATTAAAATTAAAATTTTATGCTATTTGTGATAATCTAAATTGCAGGAAAAACGCAATCTTTGCCAAGTTTTATGATCCAAATTGTAACTGAAAAATTTTTACAACGTCAAATAATCCAAAATGTTTAGTAAATGTCAAATAAAATCAAGAATTAACCAAACCTTGCATCTTAAAATTTTAGCATATATTACTTAAACTCTCAAAACGAAAGCATACATTGAAAATTTAAATTATTTTTCTTTTCTGAACCTATTTTTTTGAATTTATACATGCATGAATTTTATTTTTAAAAAATTTACAATTGACGTTTTTTCTGAAATTATCCAAAACATAAAAATGATCCTTGTATTTTAAATAAATGTTGACAACAATAAGAGTGAACAAGGTTATAACATTCAAAATAAGGTGATAAAGAAGGACAAAATATATTTTAGTGAATATTTTTCAAGTTCTACCATTATAATTTACTTTTAATTAACAAAATTTAAATATTTTTATTTTTCAGTTTACCACTTTGGGCATTTGTAGTAAAAAAAATGATTTGTGAGCAACAAAAAAAATTAAGTTTCCATAGAAAATATTTTGGTTTTTTTCGTAAAGCTATAAAGAATCAAAAATGAATCATCCACTTTCACAAGAGCCTTTAATTTAGTTATATGTACATAAACTGTGCAGTTGATTATTTAGTTTTCCGATCAATGCGACATTTTATATTAAACTAATTTTCGAAAACTATTGGGAAAATAATTTTTTTTACTGAGTTTTCCCCACATGTTTAAATTCCAAATATATATGTTCATATACGAGTATGTATGCAGAATTTGCTTTGGTTTTCACAATTTACTATAGCAGTGCAGCTTTTAAAAAAATTCCAGGAATTGTGACATAAAATTTTTCTTTAAACTAGTTTTCATAATATAAAAGACTTTTTGATTAAAAAGAACAATATTGGTGCAAAATTTTGAATAAATTTTGAATATATGAAATTTACGTATTCATTTAGAAAATTTTTTTTCAATAGCCTAGTTTAAAAAGGAATGCTTAAACAGAAAACATTTTACCCCTAACAAAATAAAGTAAAAAGTAAAAATTTGTTCCAGAGTTTGTTTAAAGTTTTCTTGAATAAATTTATAGAACCCCTTTCTTAAGTCCGTGATTAAAAGAGACAACATTTTTAAGTCTCATTATTTATGTGAAAATTTGAGAGCTTATGTGTTGTACCTACTGCTGTTTATTAATTTATTTGTTTATTTCAGAATGACACAATCGATTCGATACTTGGCGGATGAGTTTACAAATTTAAATAAATCTCATATAATTGTTAATTAATTTTTAATTTTAATTATAATTAATTTCAATAGAGAAAATTCATTTAATGATCTGTTCAATTTATTTTTTATTCCCGGTAAATTTTATAAATTTTTTATTACAATGAAAAGTATTTTGAAATTCTTGTCAGTTCAAATATTTTGAATTTTAAAATTATATTTCAAATAAAGATAAAAAAAAATTAAAACAAAAGAAAAAACTAAAATTGCGGCACAACGCATTGAATGTTCTTACGCTTACATCCGAAATATACTAAAATCATATACTAAATTCTAACTTTATCAGAATAAAAAATTTTCAATGGCTAAGCAGCAGCAATTTTTTTTATCAATATATTTAGTTCCACTTATTTCCAAAAATATGCACAGAAAACAAAAGTACAAAACCACAACAGAAATTGTATGGAAGCAAACGAATTGCTTTTTAATTTTTATCAAAAAACTTGTGGTAAATTTCAATTGTATAAATACAGTGAAAATTTCTCAGTAGAAGCATTCTCACTTCAACCAGAGTGAAATTAAAATCGTTTTTAAATTATTTGGAAATAATTTTAACAAATATCCGCAATGGCCGCAGAAGATATTAAAGCAATCAATTTGTTATTCCAACGTCCACTTGAACCATCATTCACATCGAGAGACGATGGAAATTCATCACTCACTTTACCGGAATCATTTTTTACCGACAACTATAAGGATAATTCAAAAATTGAATTTGAAAGTCGTTTTGGTGATAATGTTCAAACAAAGGTAAAATATTTGTAAATAAAAAAATTTTTTAACAAATGCAATATTTGAACACACACATAATTATTTTAAATAAATTACAGATTCCACTGAAAGAAATCCCAAAACCAAATTTAGATTTTACAAGTGTTGTTCCAATTAAAAGGCCATTCTCTCTTTTTATTGATAAACATAAGGAATGTGCTGGGCAATTAATTGATTTATTTTTGAAAGCTCCCGATCCAAAAAGTTTTATTTCACTTTCTGCTTACACCAAGTGAGCTTGACCAGTTTTAATTTCAACTGAACTGTTATAATTTTTTATATGATTTTTGTTTGATTTCAGGGATCGTGTCAATCCTTTCCTGTTTCAATATTGTTTTTCCGTCGCTTGTCAACATCGTAAAGATATTGGTAACACAATTCAAGTACCCACTGTTGTTGAACTTTTCCCTCAAAATTTTGTCGAGCCGGGAGTTTTTCGTGATGCCCGTGCAGAAGGTTCACTTATAAGCCAAGGCAATAGGACGAAAGTTAATATTCCACAAAATTATACTGCATCCGATCGTGAAGAAGAACAAAGACTTTTCTATTTTCGTGAAGATATTGGTGTAAACAGTCATCATTGGCATTGGCATTTAGTATATCCTGACAGCGGACCATTGGAAATTGTTAATAAAGATCGCCGCGGTGAATTATTTTACTATATGCATCATCAAATCATTGCCAGATATAATACTGAGAGACTTTGTAATCATCTAGCTAAATTAAGGCCATTCAACAATTTAGATGATCCAATTAAAGAAGGATATTTTCCAAAAATTTTGAATAGTTTGAATAATCGCACATACCCAGCTAGACCAAATAATAGTAAATTGTTTGATGTTAATAGAGAAAATAATGTTATACAAGTTGGAGATGTTAAACGTTGGGTTGATCGAGTTCATGAAGCAATTGATAAGGGTTTTGCTACAATGGTAAGAGTTATATATCTTTATAATTAATTGTTGTACATTTAAAAAATAATTATTTTTAATACAGACTCAAGGGCAAAATGTTCCTTTAGATGAAGTACGAGGTATTGATATACTTGGCAATATGATTGAAGCATCTGCCCTAACTCCAAATCGTCAATATTATGGAAATTTACATAATATGGGTCACAATCTTATTGCTCTATGCCATGATCCAGATAGCAGACATTTAGAAGAATTCGGTGTTATGGGTGATGTCAGTACTGCAATGAGAGATCCTGTTTTCTACAGATGGCATGGATTCATTGATGGAATATTTAAAAAATATAAGGATCTATTACCACCCTATCAAGCAAATGATGTAAGAAATTTTAATGTTGATTACGATGTTGTATTTAATTTCCGTTTGAATTGTGTAATTATAGTTATCAAATGATGGAATTGTTGTTAATGGCATAGAATGCAAAATAATGAGCACAGGTAGAACAGCACCAAATCAATTATTAACTTATTGGCAAAAATCTGATGTTGATTTAGCAGCTGGTCTTGATTTTGGTCCAAACGGAAACGTTTTTGCTGAATTTACTCACTTGCAACACCCTCCATTCGAATATTCAATTAATGTTTCAAACAATAGCGGTACTCAAAAACAAGGAACATGTAGATTATTTTTGTGTGTAAAACAAGATGAGAGGGGAATGGATTTGAGCTACAACGATCAACGTGATTTTGCTATTGAATTAGATAAATTCTTAGTTAACAGTAAGATATCTAAATTAAAATTTAAATTTTCATTAAATTTTATTTTCCAACTTCATTTTTAGTGAAACCTGGTCAAAATGTAATAAAAAGACGTTCTGATGAATCAAGTGTCACCATTCCATTTGACCGTTCTTTCCGTCGTCTAGGAGAAAAATTCCAACCTAAGGATCCCACAGAAAAATCTATTTTCCAATTTTGTGGTTGTGGTTGGCCACAACATTTATTAATTCCTAAAGGACAAAAAGAAGGTATGCAATTTGATTTGTTTGTAATGATTTCAAACTACGCTGATGATGCTGTCACACAAACGAACAGGTAAAAAATTTAGAAATTGATATTTCGGAATTGAACATAACGTGGTCTTTTAAAAATTTATTTTTTAAGTGCTGTAAGTCCATGTGGTGATGCTTATTCATTTTGTGGTCTTAAGGATAAATTATATCCAGACAAACGTGCTATGGGATTCCCATTCGATAGAACTGCTTCAGCAGAAACATTGGATGCATTTATTGCTCCTTATCCAAATATGAAGAAACAAATTGTTACGATTACTTTCCAAGATTTCTTGGTAGACAGAACTAAATAGATGGGATAACTTTCAAATTTTACTTTTGACTTGATAACAAAAATGTGTTGTTAAGATTCTTATTAATTTCTACTAAAAAAATTATGATATTAATACTCAAATAATTATGCAAAAGTCGAAACATTAACATATTGCTCTTTACTTAACTTTTATATTTTATTTCTATTAATTTTTTATAAAATCTATTATATTTAATCGAAATTGAATTGTGTTCATTTATACATTATTAATCAAAATATAGAAAAGCCAAAAAATGCTTTAATTAAAAAATTAAAATATTTTTATTTTTATATTTTTCACCCTTAGGTTTTTGTTAAAAAACTTAATAAAATTTTAATCAAACAGAAAGTTGACATTCGCAGTAAAGATCGTGTGTTCTTGCTCAATACAATCTTCAACCAAATTCTTTAACCTTTGCTGAGGCACAATAGCGCTTATCTTATAATATTGCACAGCTAAGGATTAATTTTATCTCCATATGTACGATATAATTTTTCTAGTTAGAATAAAAAGGTTTCCACAGTTGTCACATATTTGACCTGCAGAACTGAAGTGTTCTTGTCTTATTTTAAAGTTTTAATATCTTACACGCTTGGTTTTTATTGTTTTCCCAGCCAAAAAGGAAAAATAATTTGCGACTTGAAGCTCTATGCAATTTTTATTTTATAATCATTTTTTTTTTTGTGTTGTGTTGAAATTTTGAATAGTTTCTCTCCCAATAACATAAATGGAAAACTATAATATAAATATGAAAATAAAATATTAACGCCAATAGTACTTGTTTGAAGTTAAAAATAGTGTGTGAGAAAATTATCAAATATTAATTGCAATTACTGCAACATCTGTCTTAGATTCGAAAAGTCATGTGATTAAAAAAAATTATTTATTGAACCTTATGTTGTTGTTTACTTTTTACTTTCACTGAGTAAGAAAAAAAAAAAACCTATACAGCATTCAATCACTTGGATTCGAAAGGTGACAAAATCATAAACTTTTAAATATTTTCTTGTTGAAATATTGAGAGAAAATAAGTAATCACACAGATTTAATTAAAAAAATCGTTGTAATTTGAATGAAAAGTGTGATACAGAACGAACCTAATAACTTCTTGTATATAAGTGTGTTAATAATGTGAGTAAAAAAATAAATATTGTAATCAAAACCGAACATAAACTTGGTAATTTGAAAATGCCTAAATATAAAAATGCCTAAATATGTAAATATTCACAAAATTCATGAATATTTTTCACTTATAAAAATATAAAATTTATTTCAGTTGAATCTGTTTAATTAAATTCACACTGCATAGTGAAAATTATAATTTTTTAAAATTTTTATTGCATAAAGTTTGCAAATTTTCTCGTGCGGTATATAAAATAGTATTTTGCTGAATAATAGCATGTTTAGAGAACTTGGAGTTACCTAAATTTTTGACAATTGAATTCTAAATTATTTAACATTATTATTTTCTATTATATATTTTTATGCCTCATTTGAGACGAAAAATTTCTAGCTGTTTTTAAATAACAACGCGGATTTCCTTATTTCCAGTCTCATATTATATGATATGTATCATTCATAATGCAATTGATTTAATTGTTCTTTGTTTTCAACACTCTTACTTTAAATTATGTGGTCTAGAAAATAGCCTTTCATATATATGACATTTGTTACCAATTCCCTCCATTTTTAGAATAAATTGGTAATGTATTAAGGCACTGGATTGAACACAACTATCTACTATGTAATTAAGTGCAATTTTTGTAACTTAATCTATGGATTCATATAGTATACCACATGTGTATAACTTAGCACTACAGATATAAAAATCAAAAGTTTGTATGAAACTGCATGACAATTATCTCCGACATTTAAAATCATTTATTTGTACCGGTATTATGAATTCGTATTGACAGTTGACACAGTCAACTATAGCTATTAAGTATTTAATGGAATAGTGAAGTTGCTGAAAATATTGAAAATAAAATAAATTACGTGATTAATTCCTGCTAAGAGTTTCATATCATTTAGATCAAAATTATTTTATTGAAAATTTTAATTTTGTTCTCATACACTTTAACGTTTCACGAACTTAAATGAAATCAATAAAAATGATAATAAAGTTTTCATGTATGCTAAATAAATTCCAAATATCCACAAATTAATTATAAAAAACTCTATTCTCTGAAATAACTTTCTTAGATTTAAGCCTGTAAATGTTAGCTTTAAGTTTAGTTTTAAGGTATAGGTTAAATATCTTTACAATTTTTGTTGTATCCATATTATTATTAACGTATAATATTTTGTAATTTAATATTTTTGATTCAACTGCACATAATTGCAGTAAAATATATAATTATTTTATGCTTCAATGGGGGTGCTATTTATTATAGTCATTGAGCACTGGCTGCTTTAAAAAAATATATGCAATTAATTCTTCTGTTTTGTTTAGAATTCTTGATCTATTACTTTTGGCCAATAAATAAATAAATAATTTTAATCGCGGAATCATTAGTAACACAATATAAGTTTAACTTGTTCATATACGAGACACCTTGTATAAATTTGAACTCACCTTAAATGAAGTTTATGAAATAAATTATTTTTTTAATTTGTTTGACATTGTACCATTGTCATGTTTAAAATTTTTATCCCAAATATAAATTTTTAAATTATTATTTATAAAAATTATTGAACAAATTTTGTTGAATTCAAAAAATTAGGCTTTAAATTTATGCAATATAAAAAATTCTAATTAAAATCAAAGACAACGTTTTTGAGGAGGGATGTGTTCAAGGAATCAAGAATAATAATTTTGAAGGTATACATGTATTTGTGTGCTTACGTAATAGATAATTATAAAAACTCACCAGAATTTAGTAAATCTCAATGCTTTATGAATTTGATTTTTAATTTAAAAAAAAAAATTAAATTTAGCGTGCAATTATTTCCAAACTGCAAAAGCTTTTAATAACTAAAACGAATTTTCCCTTTTTAGAATTGCATAGATAAAAAAATCTAACGCCTACAATCGTAAATTCCAAAATGATAAGCTCTTTTTCATAATTAAAGCAATTTAAAATTCGATAAGAGCTAATTTGAAAAACAAAGAGAATTCAAATGCAAAGCCACGACCTAATTTATATAAGACAGACAAAATGTTTTAATATTTTTATCAATTAATCTGTGGTTTAATGCAATTGTATAAATGCAGTGCAAATTTGGTTGTTAGAAACATTCACATTTCAATCGGAGTGCAATTAATATCATTACTGCAAATTAAAAATAATTTTTATAAACTTTTAAAACAAGAGTTGGCAATGGCTGAAGAAGACATTAAAGCAATTAATTTGTTATTCCAACGTCCACTTGAACCATCATTCACATCGCGAGACGATGGAAGTTCATCACTCGTTTTACCAGAATCATATTTGACGGAAAACTATAAGGATACGTCAAAAGTTCAAGTTGATAGCCGTTTCGGTGATAATATTCAGCTTAAGGTAATATAATTGTACACAGAACATGGTATTTTGAATATAAAGAAATTTCAAATAAATTGCAGATTCCAGTGAGAGAAGTTCCACCGCCAAATTTAGATTTCACTAGCGCTGTGCCGCTAAAACGTCCATTCTCTCTATTTAATGATAAACATAAGGAATGTGCTGGACAATTAATTGATATATTTTTGAAAGCACCTGATCCTAAAAGTTTTATATCGGTTAGCACTTATGCTCGGTAAGTTAGAAACAACAAATTTAAAATTTTTGTACTTTCGATGAGCAATCATAATATTTTTTTATTTATTTCTTTTATTTTTAGAGAACGAATCAATCCTTTCTTATTTCAATATTGTTTTTCCGTCGCCTGTCAACATCGTAAAGATATTGGTAACTCAGTTAATGTACCAACTATCGTAGAACTTTTCCCTCAAAATTTTGTTGAGCCAGGAACTTTTCGTGATGCTCGTGCAGAAGGTACTCTTATAAGTCAAGGCGATAGAACAAAAATTGATATTCCACAAAATTATACTGCATCCGATCGTGAAGAAGAACAAAGACTTTTCTATTTTCGTGAAGATATTGGTGTAAACAGTCATCATTGGCATTGGCATTTAGTATATCCTGATAGCGGACCTTTAGAAGTAGTAAATAAAGATCGACGCGGTGAATTATTTTACTATATGCATCATCAGATCATTGCCAGATATAATACTGAAAGAATTTGTAATCATTTAGCTAAATTAAAGCCATTCAATAATTTAGATGAACCGATTAAAGAAGGATATTTTCCAAAAATTTTAAATAGTTTGAATAATCGTACATATCCAGGAAGACCGAATAATAGTAAACTACATGATGTTAATCGAGATGATAATATTATACAAATTGGTGATGTTAAACGTTGGGTTGATCGAGTTCATGAAGCTATTGATAAGGGATTTGCTACATCAGTAAGTTTGGTGATATGCTAATTATATACATGAAATAAAATAAAATGATTTTATGCAGACTCGAGGACAAAATATGCCATTGGATGAGCTACGAGGTATTGATATACTTGGTAATATGATTGAAGCATCTGCACTTACTCCAAACCGTCAATATTATGGAAATTTACATAATATGGGGCATAATTTGATATCTTTGTGTCATGACCCGGAAAGAAGACATTTAGAAGAAATTGGCGTTATGGGTGATGTCAGTACTGCAATGAGAGATCCTATATTCTATAGATGGCATGGATTTATTGATGGAATATTTAAAAAATACAAAGATTTATTACCACCTTATCAACCAAATGAAGTAGAACTTTTAATTATAAAGGAATTCATTAAAGATATTATAGTTAATTTCCATTTATATAATTGCAGTTGTCAAATGATGGAATTGTTGTTAATGGCATAGAATGCAAAATAATGAGCACAGGTAGAACAGCACCAAATCAATTGTTAACTTATTGGCAAAAATCTGATGTTGATTTAGCAGCCGGTCTAGATTTTGGTCCAAATGGAAATGTTTTTGCTGAATTTACTCACTTGCAACACCCTCCATTTGAATACACAATTAATGTTTCAAACAACAGCGGCACTCAAAAATCAGGAACATGTAGATTATTTTTGTGTGTAAAGCAAGATGAGAGGGGAATGGATTTGAGCTACAACGACCAACGTGATTTTGCTATTGAATTGGATAAATACCAAGTAAATAGTAAGTATAACAAACTTAACAATATAGTAAATTTTTAGAAAACTCATTTTATGCGTAATTATTAGTGAAACCAGGTCAAAATGTCATAAAGAGACGTTCTGATGAATCAAATGTTACCATACCGTTCCATCGTTCCTTCCGTCGTGTTGGTACAAAATTTCAACCAAAAGATCCTGGTGAAAAAGCTATTTTCCAATTTTGTGGTTGTGGTTGGCCAGATCATTTACTAATTCCAAAAGGTCGAAAAGAGGGAATGCAGTTTGATTTGTTTGTAATGATTTCCAATTATGACGATGATGCCGTCACCCAAACAAACAGGTATAAAATTTATAAATCAAAATTTTGAAATTTAAAATAATGCTGTGTTTAAAAATTTATTTTTTAAGTGCTGTAAATCCATGTGGTGATGCTTACTCATTTTGTGGTCTTAAGGATAAATTGTATCCGGACAAGCGTGCTATGGGTTTCCCATTCGATAGAATGTCAGATGCTGCAACATTGGATGACTTTATTGCTCCTTATCCAAATATGAAGAAACAAATTATTACAATTACATTCCAGGATATTTTGGTAGACAGAACTAAATAAGAAAGGAAATTTCCAAAATCATAACGAAAGATCATAATTCCAAGAATGTTCTTTTAACTTTTTATGTTCAACTTGATATCAAAAACACCTTATTTCTATGCTTATTCACTTCTATAATAACTTATCTATATAATATTAATAACCAAATAATTACGCCAAAGCCGAAACATTTATAATATATTTACCTTACATTTTACTCTTCTATATACTTACGTATCCCATGTTAATCTTTTTAAAGGTCTTTATAATAAAATATAAAATATTTTAACTAAAGTGCTTTGTTTTCTTATTCTCTTTCGATAAATTACTTACTGGAACATTTTCACAAAAATAATTACTGATAATTGAAAAACGGAAAAATTTCTCCTATAAACTGCAGTATTGAGCATTTTATACGTGATAACAAGGCTATACAGTACTGCATGCACATAGTTTATTTTACACCTATCAAAGGGACTTGATTTAAATCCTTTTAATTTTATATTAAAAGGACTTCTATGTAGATATATGATTTTTCGTAATTGAATAATTATAGCATACTTGACATAACCTTTAAAATAATTGCTATCATAAGAATGCATTTTAATAATAGGATTTGCAACGCTGGTAATAGGATGTTTAATATTTGAATAATTGAATATTTGCTTTGGATCAAGTTCAAGAACTAATAAAAATTAGAAATGAAAAATGTATCGACAAACAACTTAAAGTATCAATCACCAAAAGAATCCCAAATCATATAATTTGGTATTTAACTATTTTTTAAATTCCCGAAGAGAAGATTGTTTAATTAGCGACGAGCCAATAATATTGTTGTCGAAATATGGGCATCTAGCAAAATATAGATCTAACGTCAATTTTATAACCACAATGCAAGTTCAATTGTAAATTGCGCTTTAGTAAACGGTCAATTACAAGGCTTTGAATTGAAAATAGAAAATTTAAGGAAAAATGTTTTCGAACTTTCGTATATGACACCTTCAATAATTCAAAACCATTAAAATTTGCAATATTAATGTTGGCACACATAAAAAATTCATTAATACCTGGATGTCTTCGAATGTAATGATTAACTGCTCATATATATAAAATTGTTATTTTGGAAATGAACTTTGCATAATGTTTAAAAAACCAAGTCAGTTACTTGAAATTTGCTAATCGCGATAAATAGCTTACTCTTTTAAAAATGTTTCAAATAAATTTAACTAATAAATTTATTACTTTACCGATCGTTTGTTCAAAAATAGTTGGAATTGAACCTTTTAAAAATATTTTTAAACAAAATTTTAAATTAAAAAATTTTCTATTTTTTTTCGGTTTTGGTAATGTTGGTCTAATATCGATTGCATTTCTTGCCAATTTCTTTCTAACTGAATTTGAATATTCAACATTTCTTGAAATTACCGAATCATTGTCCTGTGTTGTATTTTTATTATTAGCTCAAATAAAATGTTTACTTGTATGGTGGCGTAAAAATGAAATAACTTTATTTTTTACAAAATTATCAAATAGATTCACAAAGGAAATTGAAATAAAATATTCAAATTTTATAAAGCAATCAATTAAAAAAACTCTAATATTACATATAATTGAAATATTTTTCTTAATGGCAGCCTTAGCTGGTTATATTTTTGCTTTTACAGCTGAAAATATTGTTAAACATTATAAGTATGAGAATTCGACAACATTTTATACTGATTTAATATATCCAGTTTGGTATCCATTTGAATTAAGTAATAAATGGATTTATGGTTTAGTTATTGCCCAACAAATTCATATAAGTATTGTTGGAACTGTTTCAACTTTATACATTGAATTATTGCTAATGTCAATGGTTATGTTATGCTCCACATATTTTAGTATAATCTCAAAAGAGATTTTACAATTGAAACCAAATCGGAATCAGATGAATAAGGAAAAACTTAAATTAATTAAAATAATTAAATATCATACAGAAATGTTAAAGTAAGATCAAAATTATGGAAATATAAGATTTTTTTTTTTAATTTATTTATTTTATTAAAAATATAGTTTAACTGAAACCATAAATAATACTTTTTCAATGGCGGTTCTTTTCAATTTTTTGGCATCATCCATTATAATTTGTTTTATTGGATTTCAAGTTGCATGTGGTGCTGAAATTTTAGAAATATTAAGAAGAATGTGGTTTCTATTATATGAAATTGTTCGCGTTTATATAATTTCATATTTGGGTGAAGAACTAATTCAGTCAGTAAGTAAACCTATATACGAGTACTTGTAATTTTAAATTTTAAAAAAAAATTAACATTATTTAATTTTTTTATTCTATAAAACATAATATTAAAGAGTGAAGGTGTTTCAAAATCTGCTTATGAACATTTTTGGTTCAACGGGGACATTATTTATCAGAAATGTATTTTATTTATAATAACAAGATCTCAAAAGCCTGCAATAATTAATGCTAATGGATTTGCTGTTGTTTCATTGAAAACTTTCACTAAAGTATGATTTTTATTAAAATTATTGCTAAATAATTAAATAAATTATTTTTCAAGGTGATACAAATTTCATATCAATTTTTGGCTCTTTTGAGAACTGCATTCAACAAATTTAAGTCAGACATTTAAATTTAATGTGTTATTGTACGTGTCTGGTTGCACAGCACAAAAATTACAAATGAAAGTAGAATGAATAACAAATGGAATTTGTACCGTTTTAAATAAGAAAATTAATTTTTAAAAAAGTAAGCACCAAAGTACGCTGCACAACTTTTTGTTAGAGCACCTTCTGTATTAACAATAATCGTAAAGTTTAATGATACATGTAATTTTCTTAAATGAATTGAAGATTTGCTGATAAAAAATGCTTGCACATCTGTGACAACTGGAAAGAAATGTCTAAGTTAACAAACGAATTGAGATCTAGTGAAATTTATAATTAAGTGTAAAATCTAAATTTGATTTGGACAATCTAAGGTAGTCAAACTAAATTGAGAAAAACCAACTATAATTTCGAAAATAAAAATAAATTTGAGAAAATTTTTGCAAAACCATGAACTCGGTTTAAGTTTCAAATTTCCCATGTAGTTTCAATTAATTCTGGTTCATGCAGATTCTCTTTATTGCCACTTCACATATATCTTCACTTGAACTTTATTTTGAAATTGCTCTTATAGGAAAAATGTAATAAAAATTAATAACAATTGAGTTAAGAATCTTAAATAATTATTATGTTTTATTCTAATTAATTAATCTGTTTTAAATAAATAAATGTACACAAATTGGTCTTTTTCAAATTAATTAAGGGCTATATTGCTGTAGCTTGTGAAGATAAAAATTGACAATGCACAGATGCTGCGTTATTTAACAATAATTAAATTTGATTTAAATTTTAGTTTTTCAATAAATTTAATTAAAGCCAGTTGAAGCTAAACTTCGGAATGGCTTTGGTCCTTCAATACCAATAACATGAATCAATCAAGTTTTTTTTTAAGAAAGAAAAAATTAAACAAATTCTTTAAAAAATCTTCAAAATTTTATACGAAAAATAATTTTATTGAAAACTTGACGAACAATAATCACAATTTTATTTTCAAAGGAAGGAAAAGATTTGATATCGAAAGATCTCAAAAATATGTATAATGTTTGTATGTTGAATATACTTTATTATTTTATGGACCACCTAATGGTGGTGGCACATAATTTGGATCTTTTGCTTTGCATTCTTCAGTTAAACCATCTTCAGGTATAATATCAGCTGTTAGTTCTAAGAATTTATCTAATGGACAATATTCTGTACATCCAGGAATTGTTAATGGAATTGGATTTTCACCTTCATCCTTTTGATAAATTCTTACTTCATAATCTCCTTCTGTAGTACTATATAATTCAAATATGGCCATTACTGAATAACCAGGAAACTACAACAAAAAAAAATTAAATAGAAAAATATTCTTTTTTTCAATAAAATATTGCGAGACCAATAACACTAGCGCTTAAAGTAATTTCAAATATCCAAAAATATACCTGAGTTTTCCAAACACCTAGGGCATAAAGAAAATTCACAATGCTTGAATCATGACCACAATAAATATAAAGTTTTCGAGTACTTGGTGACAATGTATTGTCACGTTTGGCTTTCCATTCATTAGACATTTTTTTAATAAATGGACCAGATTTAATTTTTTGCATTTCTTTTGTATAAATATTAAAATTGTATGAAAGTTCAGCATTTTCTTGCATTTTATCTGGAAAATAATCCATTGTCCATTTTGGTAGTGTTAAACCATATTCTTTCTGCAAATATCAAAATAGAATTTGAATAGTTAAATATTGATGCCTCAAATATTGATTAATGATTTTGTCATTTACGATTACAAAATTTAATCTTGTTAAGTAAATTGACACAACCGCTAGGGATAAAATAAAGGAAACTTTTAAAAATTTGCAAAATATAGAAATTCCGAAGATTTAACTAGTTTAAGCATAATAAATTATTTATTTTATGAGAAAAGTATGTAAAAAACTTTCTGCCTAGTGCTTACGTTATTAGCTTTGAAAATAAATTAGTATGGTGAAAAGCTTTATAATACAACTTCAACTTAAAAAAATAATAACAAAATTAAATCAAAATTTAATATAGAATACGGTAAACATATTTACCGTATCACATTTAATTCTAAGCTTTTAAATTAAACTTACCTCAGCTTTTAGTGTACTATAAAGGGAGCTTACATCATCTGGTGTTTTTATTTCTAAACCAGTAATTTCAGTTAAATTTTTATAAAGTTCAGCACTTCTTTCCATTAAATCTTTAATATTTTCATTTTCATTCATAATTTCATCGAAATTTTCACCATAACGTGGACAAGGAATACGTACTAACAATAATGTATCCTTATTTAATTCCTCATAATTAACTGGTATTGGTTGCCAATTTAATTTTTTATTCCATTCCATTGGAGTTGATTTGGGTTTAAATAAACCAGCTAATACAATTTGAATTGACATTTGAGTTCTTGATACACCAGTACTTTGGGCATGAACAAGCTGTTAAAAAATAATAATAATTAATTATCTAACCCTAAAACATTGTATAAAATAAGTTGTTTTGTTTTTTAAAAGGAGTTAATTTGTAACACAAGATCTAATTAGTGTGATATTTTAATAACAATTGTTCTGATAACAATATGACAATAAATAAACTAATTATTATAGATATACAGAAATAAAGATTATCAAATCGCTTATAACACTTGTATGCACATATGTTATTTAAAACCCTTTTATAAATAATATTACATAACAACTTTAAAATAACAACATGTGTATACGTCAAAATGATATATTGGAATTTAATAAAAAATATTATCTTACGTCTGGAAAATAATATGGTCCCAGTAGCGAGTTGTAACGTGTCCTCAACCATTCACCAGTATTATACAATTTGCATTTACCTAACTTTTTGAAAAATAAAAGAAATAGATTAATTTCCCTAGAACTTATTATTTAAAACAAGAAAAAAAATAATTTTACATTTGTAACTTGTCCCCAACCATATGGTTTAAATGTTTCATTAATATGTGGATCATTTGGATATGTATCAGCTGGTGTTCGAGCTCCATGTCTAAATACCTTAAATTGCATTTGAAAAAAAATTTGTTAATATTTATTAATTACAATCAAATTTACTTTTAAATTTTCAACATTTTGAATTATATTTAAATTTTTACTATACATATATAAACTTACAATATGCACTAATTCTAAATTTTTTCCAGCTGGAACTGGTAATGATTCAAATGTGTGTGTTGAATTTGCACAATTTTTTGATTGAGATCTTTTATTTAATAATCTGGAAGTATTTCTTTGAAAACGTGTAAATGCTCTACCATTACGATTCGATTTACTATCACTTGTATTTTTTTCATCTGAATTAATTGATCTACTCTCTAATGTTATAGTATATATACATAATATACATAATATTACTAATAGAATAACACTTTTTCTCAAAATTAACATTTTAATTTTAATACAAGATGAATTGGATTCAGATTCAATTTTTATAATAATTATGTTGTTCTGCTGCTCTTCGTTATGATCATCTATTATCTGAAACAAAATAGAATTAAACGTATTTTATTAAATGCTCATTGCTTTTATATTAACAAAAATATATGAGAACATTAAATTATATATGAGAAAACTTTAAAATATTATTCGAGTCTCATAAGTTTTTGTTGTACCGATGAGTATATGGTGAAAATTATTTTAACTTCGAAAAAATTTCCTTAATAATGGGAATTGTCAAAATTTATAGAACTATATGCATAATAAAAAAAATATTCAACTAAAAATGAATAAGATAATTGTAAATTTTTGTATGTGATTCTGTTGAATTGTGGCAATACGTTCATAATTATTAATTCTAGTGAATTTTGAAAAACGCTATTAGCACAACTTTAAATTCAAGGAAGCGAATTTCAACAGGTTTATTTAAAATGTAAAACGGCGGGACTAAAGAAAATTTACCAATAATTTTCTAAAAATTAATTTGTTTTTTTTTCACCCTTTTTGTTTTAAACTGAAGAAAATTTATCAAAACAAAACAAGAAAAATTTAACAATACAAAGAGATTAAAAAAAAAAAACAATTTTTTTGAATACCATCAATTAGGCTGATTTTAATGACGCTTAAATAAACACCAAACAAAATATTTATTTTAAAAATATAACGGGAATAGGGTTACATGTTTTCAGTTAACACTTTGAAATTTTATATCAATCTCTTATGCCAAACGGTATTATTAATTTTGTTTATTTAAAGGAAACACTAACAAATTAACTAATTAGCATGTACTCCTGAAAGTATGCAAGATTTTCGATGTTTAAAAGATGCATGTATTAAAAATGTTGAATAAAATAGTGATGCGACAACTTTTTAATACTTTAAAAATAATTTTGATTTAGAAGTATAGTAAAGTTTTATATACCATTATTACACTTGTACCAAGATTGGTGAACATTTTGGTAGTTGCATCTTTCGGATTTTATTAATAAAAATATGAAATTGATTTAATAATGTATATAATTAATGGGGAAAATTTTAATACCTTAAAAATTTTCAATTTTAAAACAATTTGATCAGCCTCCGTAAGACAATGGTGTAATTACATTATAAATTAAAAGGAATTAAATTTTAATCAATTCTGTTTTTATACCTTTATTTGTGTATAAATTAAAAAAGCAAAACCAAACAGAAAAAGGTAAGTACAAAATACAAGACGCATTATTAAATCAAAATATTTTAAATATTTCACATTTAATTTAAGTTTTATATATAAGTTTATATAGGGAATTTGGTGAATCTTCATACTAAAAACCAGAAATTACAAGACGATAGATGGATGTTCATACTCCCATATACACAAATTATACATATATATATAAATATATATATACAAGCAACATGTTATTGTTTTGATTAAAGGTCATGAACAGAGCAATCAAAATAACAGGATTATGCAGCAATAACAATTTTATTGTTTTGTATACTTTGTATTTAGGGAGTACCTATCTTTAATTATCATTTATTTCCCTCGTGTTTTAAAAATACATACATAATAAATAATTGTATATAGGTAATATAAGCAATGACTGGACTGATGAGTTATTAAAATTCGTTTAGTTATTATTTATACCATAGTTAACCGGTTTTTTTGCTATGGTCAGTTATAGTACACGTTTACTTTTGATTTCTTTGTGACCGACAATGAAGATAAGTTTGTAATTATTTTGAAATAAATCTTTGAAGATTTTAAACTGGAAAAAAGCTTTTAAAAACTTTAAGATTTTTTTCTTTTTGCTTTAAAAATCGTTAAACATTTTGACTGTTTTAAAAATAGTTAAAATTCCATCACATTGTGAGTTCGAACTGTTTTTTACAAGGGAATTTCTCAACTTTAAACATCAATATTTTTTTCTTGACAAGTTTACATAACCAATTGTTTTAGTTTATTCAAGGACGAGGATTAATAATTATTAATCCTTGTATAGATTCGCGTATGTCAACAATATTTCTGTTTGATTGAAGATATGATTCGTAGTGTTCTTGAACTATAATTCTTAGTTATTCTTAGTGTTCTTCCAGTATGTGGTGTAATTTCTTAAAAATTTTTTTTTATTTTCAAATAAAAATTAAAGAACAATTTTAAGAATTATATGATAAAAATAATTTTGAAATTAATATTTTGAAAAATGAAAAATAAAATTGAATTTTACAGCACTTGCAGCAAAAATTCAGTTAGAATAATATACAGGGTGTCGCATAAGATGGCAAATAATTTCGAGGATGACTTTTTGATCAATTTCCAGCAAAAAATCATGTGATAAAGGTATAAATAAAGTAAAACACAAAAAAAATAACACAAATTTCCAAAAAATTTCGAGTTTTATAAAAAAAAAAGTTTAATGAAAAAAACTAAAATTCCGACTTTGACGAGTTGTATCTCGAAAACTATGGCTCAAACCAAATTATTTGTAAAACCAAAAATAAAGAACAATCAATCGCACGTAAAACAAACTCCTAATAATAACTCTATGTTGTATGGTTCCGAAGTTATAAGCATTTATTTTATGCAGAAAATGTCCGGATCCTTTTTTTCAACAACCTCTCCCCCCTTCCCCTACCCACACAATTTTTTGCTGGAAATTGATTAAAGAACCATAAAATTATTTGCCACCTTATGCGAAACACCCTGTATAAAGATATTTGATAAATATGATAAAAGTATATTTGATAATTATGCTGAACAGGATTTTTTAATTTTTTTAATCAGTACTAATTCGCAACATTGTTTTGAAAAAATTAAGATAAAAGCTTAGATTTGTTTTCAACCCTTAAGTTTCATACATTTAATTTTTCATGAAATATAAAAAAACAGCTTCGACATTCCAAGTATTATGACACATCTTAGAAACCTATACATAAAAATTATATATAATTGAAATTCAGTTTTGATTTACTATAACAATATCCTTAAAATTAATTATTTATTTAACCAATTCACATACATATGTACATATAATATATTTTCATATCTTAAACTATAATATAGGAATAATATAATAATATTTAACGTATGAAGGTTAAAATATTATTCGTACACACAAATTCTGTAAAAACGTGATTATTTTATACGAACTAATTAAATTTTTGGAGAAATAATTCCTAGTTCCTATAATAATTCCTATAATAATTCCTAGAAATAGTTCCTAGTTCCTAATAATTCCTAATTTTTGGAATAATAACGATAATAATTCTGTGGCTGCAGTACATAGCAACTTAAGTTAATGTGATAACAAAAAAGTGATATAGACCCTAGATATTTCCAAAGTATAAAATCTTCTTTAAATTGGAATTTCGTTTTCCTTTTTTCGTTGCGGCACTACTTATTACTTCTTTAAAATAAAATAGTTATTTTCATGCTAGCAGACTAAAATTATTGTGTGGCATATCAGTCTGAAATTATCTAATAGACTAAGACTTTCAATTTAATAATTTTGATGTGAAAATTGCAGCCATAACAAATGTCAATTTATGGATCTCCAAACTTCAAAAAAAAAAAAAAAATAAATTTACTTTTAAAAAACCAAGCAGAAAGTCTGATGAGAATAGAGTAATTTTTCCGTTATTTTTTTCTGTCAAACTATATGTATATATGTATATTAATTCTTACTATTTACTTTGTATATAATAATTTTATATATTAATTCCGTCAAACAATTTGTCGTGTACATGTAAGCAGAATGTAAGATTTAAACAATTTTTTGCTTTTTCACAAAATACAAATTATTTGTACTTTTGCTACTGTTAGGTGTTACCACAGAATAAATTTTTTAGTATAAAAAGCTTTCATACGATTTCTCAAACCAATTAGATAGTAAGGTCCTTTTTTTTATATAATTACATCGAAAACCTATTTTAGTGTAAGTAGCTAAATAATAATTGTGTAGGTATGCCAGTGTAATTATATTGAAATAATCAAAACTTTAAAATCGAAAAACTTCTTAAAAATTTTATTTAATTTTTGTTACTCCTTTTGTTTACTTTAGAAGTTAAATATGAATTTGAAAAAAATAACAATTATAAATTAATTAAAAATCATATTTAATTTAAATATAAAAGGAAAATGTGTAATTTTAAATTTCAAATAGAAGCTGAATGTGTTAGAACAAAGAATTATAATTTTTTTTCTTAATTATGGTGCATACAATTGCTAAATCACCGCCTGATTCACGACGTAAATTTAAAACGCAAGAAGGCAGTGCTGAATCGAAACCATACGAGAAATTTATTAAAATACCAAAATTTTTCTATGTAATACTTAATTTTACACCACATTCAAAAGAATCAAATATTGTGAATTTTGCATTTTGGTTTAGTTTTTTTAATAATTGTGCTGCTGTTATTGGTCAAATTGTTTTTTTACAAAATGTTATTGAAGCAAATGCTAGTTTTATTGATGGTACAGCATTATTCGGTTGCATTTGTTTCGGTTCCGATAACAATATAAAATTAATTATGACAATTTGGAGGAAAAAATCAATTTTAAAAGAAATTTATAGTGAATTTTTAAGATTGTATCCAAAAAATGTTAATGATCAGAAACATTATAATTTTAAAAAATTTGAATTTTTATGGAAAATAGCGAGTCGAATTTATTATTTTCTAATGATATTTCATAATATATTTTTTTGTTTATTCCCATTTATGCATTCAGCATATAATTATTATGCGGAGAAAGTTTTTTTATATAGAACACCATTATTTATTTGGTATCCATTTGATATAACAAAATATTTTCCACTATATTGTGTAATTTATGTACATCAAGCGTATTGTGTTATGGCAACAACTTTAACTACATTAGGATATGCTTTATTATTTTGTAATATTATATTACAAACTGCCATGCATTACGATTATATTGCATCTGAATTAATGAAATCAAATAATGGGAAGAAATTAAGAAATTATTCTAAGAACGACTACAGTCATTTAAGAGAACTTTTAGCCGCCCATCAAACTGTGTTTAAGTAAGTTGAAATTTT